ATGGAGGAGGAGGAGGAGGAGGAGGGGAGAGAAGGAGGAAGAAGAAGGAGGAGGAGGAGGAGGAACCGGCAGTGACAAAGAAGGAGGAGGAGGAGGAGGAGGAGGAGTCGGGGACGACGCGCGACGCGGGGCTTCTATTCAGCGTCGGCGACACGAGCGAGAGCGACGACGGAGGCGGACGTCGTTCGTCGCCCGACGGGTCGGAGCGCAGCGGTGGCGCCACCTCGCCGGAGCCGGAGGTGCGGACGCGCGACGGAGCGGTGGCGAACCCGTTCCCCGAGCTTACGTAGTCAGACGCCCCTCGGATCTCTCTCTCTCTCCGCCCGTGCGAGAAAGAGAGAGAAGAGAGGCGGTGTTTTCTCTGTAAGAGGGTGCGAGATATATATATATTTATATATAGAGAGAGAGAGATAGAGAGAGAGAGAGAGATAGAGAGAGAGAGAGAGAGAGAAAGAAAGAGAGAAAGAGAGAGAGCGCAAGTATGCGCCAGCTGCAGGGGCGTAGCATGAACCATTTTACCTGGGGAAGGGGAAAGGGGGTTAAAGCAACGTGCTGGAGTTGTGTTCTGGGCAGGTGACCGTGATTAAATCGCCTTTGACCATGTAACAGAATCTATATTTCTCTAGGGGGGAGGGGTGAACATGGGCTCCCTTGCTACGGCTCTGTGGTGGCGCTTGCATGAGTCAGATTTGTGGTGCCTGGTACGGCTACTACTGCGGCTGGTTACCTAGTGTTATATACCTTGGCAGGGTATCTGGTGTTACCTACCTACCTTGGTGTTACATACATTGGCAGGGTATCTTGTGTTACCTACCTTGGTGTTACATACATTGGCAGGGTATCTTGTGTTACCTACCTTGGTGTTATATACCTTGGTATGGTATCTGGTGTTACATATATTAGCTGGTTACCTGGTGTTATATACCTTGGTGTTACATACATTGGCTGGCTACCTGGTCTACATACCTTTGTGTTACGTACCGTACATAGATGCCTAACCTGCTCACATAGTCATCATACAAGCGTCTGTTTGTTCGGTTCTACATATCCATACTCACCCTTTGTAAATACCCTGCATGCCTTGCGTGCGTATCTAGTCTGTATGCTCCGGTGCGACCCCCCCCCCTCGCCCCTGCATCTCTGAGATGCGGACCCAGCCCCCCCCTCCCCACTGCATCTCTGTGCGAGCTTCCGCACCCATCCCTGCATCTCTACGCCTGTAATTATGTAATAACCTACCTACTGAGCTACCAGCTGGTGTATATAAATATCACCACGGCACAGCTACGCGCAACGCACGCACGCGCACACACACACAAACACACACACAGCACACACACATAGCACACACGACACAGCGCACACACACACAGGCAGCACATAGGCAGCACGAGTCAACGACAACCACACACATCATAGCAGGAGCAGACATATATAACATAGTTTTTATTGTACGGTGTCTAGTATATTACGAGTATGCCAACTACCCATCCTATCGTGTGGAGCGAGACGCATCTTCGATGTATGATTCCCTAAGGCTTGGTAAAGTTACACGCCTCTCTCAATATAATATAGGTTCTTTTATATAGGCCCTAATATAGGTTCCAATAATACACCCCCCTAGGGAACCATATAGGCGCCTGGGGCTATGGTTCCACTATAGGCCCCCTAATGGTTCTATTTTTTCTGGGGAAGCAGTCCGTAGCTTTCACGCAGATTCCTCAAAAGGGGTTCAATGACTAAAATAAGGTTAAGAACCACTGCTATGAGCGGCCTAACAGGATCCTATAAGATTCCATATAGGTCATCGTAAAGTTCCATAGGAGTCATATACGTCCTTTAAAAATGATCGTAAAGATCTGATACGATATAGAATGCTTTCATCAACGCACGCCAGTTGAGATGTTTGTTTTTGGTGGCTTTACGCGTTCAGCGTGTGTTCTGCTTTTTTCAAAATTCTGGATAGAGGCAACTAGGCCTGCGCTCGTGCGTGTGTGCTGGTGTTTGTTATGTTATGTGGTGTGGATTCCACGCGAGATTGTCTAGGAGACTGAACCAGTGTAAGAACGGAGTATATCGGTCACGTTACGAGATCGAGCATGTTACGATGAATAAATAGGAGATGTTAAGGGAGCATAATATATTGTATTATGTCAATCAGAAGCACATGTTCTGACGCGAGCAATAATATAATTGTATGTCACAGCAAACATATATTGTATTTCACAGAAGCATAATTTATTGTTACGGGCATATATTGTATGTACAGAAGTATAATATTATTGTTATGTCACAGAAACATATATTGATGTCACAAAGCATATAATTGTATGTTACGCGGGGCATATATTGTAATGTACAGCAAGCATATATTGTATGTCACTGAAGCATATATTGTATGTTGCGGGGCATACATTGTATGTTGGGGCGGGCATAATTAGTGTTGTATGTCACAGAAGCATATATTCGTTTATGGAAACATAATATATTGTCATGTTGCGGCAAGCATATATTGTATGTAGCGAAGCATATATTGTATGCTTGCGGGGCATAATTACATTGTATGTACAGAAGTCATATATTGTATGTTGCGGGCATAATTACATTGTATGTACAGAAGCATATATTGTATGTCACAGAAGCATATATTCAGTTTACGGAAACAAAATATATTGATGTACAGCAGGATATAGTGAGTCCGTTACGGAAGCATGTTGATTACACTAAAATGCTATTGGATGGAAATATCCGGGGTGATAACAACCGATAATTGATCGAGTATCGATTAGCACATAGGACTGCCGACGAGGATATCGCATATACCGGTTTTAGTATCTGTAGTGGAATGCTGTTTAGCAAATGCGTGATTGGAAGAACTTAAGATGTATCCAAGCTGACTGTGTTATAACTTCCTGCAAGGCGAATGCCGAGTAGCCTCTCTCCGCCTCTACGATGATATACATATATATATATATATATATATAATATATATATATATATATATTATATTATATATAGAGAGAGAGAGAGAGAGAGAGAGAGAGAGAGAGAGAGAGAGAGCGATAGAAACAAAGAAAGAGAGAGAGAGAGAGCAGAGAGCGATAGAAACAAGAAAGAGAGAGATAGAGAGAGAGAGAGAGAGAGAGAGAGGAGAGAGAGAGAGAGAGACGAGAGAGAGAAGAGAGAGAGAGAGAGAGAGAGAGAGAGAGAGAGAGAGAGAGAGAAATAGAGAGATGGACAGTGTGTCCGGCTGCAGCAGGGGTATGTATATATTCTCAGTAAGAGTTCACGAACAGACAGGGGAGATTCGCCTCGTGTTCTCGCGTGTTCTCGCGGCGGTGCTGTCGGCAAAAGCTGCACCACGTACGGTAGTTCGCTATGTATTATATTATACGTGTTCTGCTAGGTATTTTTTTTCGGAATTTGCTCAATCATTGACAGTGTAGCGTGTGTTAGGGTTAACAGCACAGCGCGGGGTTGATGCTACTGCTGCTGTTGTTGTTTTTGCTGATGCTGTTGTTTGCTGCTGCCTGCTGCTGCTGGTGTGTGGTGGTGGGTGGTGGTGGTGGTGATGGTGGTGGTAGCGTGCTGCTGCTGTTGCTGCTGCTGCGGTTGCTACTGCTGCTACTGCCTACTACTACTGCGCTGCCTGCTGCTGGCTGCTGCTGCTGCTGCTGGTTGGTCGGTGGTGCTGGTGCTGCCTGCTGCTGCTGGTGGTGGTGGTGATGGTGCTACTACTACTGCTGCTGCTGCTACTACTACTGCTGCTGCTGCTGCTGCTGCTGTTACTGCCTACTACTACTGCTTCAATGCTTTGCCCCGATTTAATCATCGGGGATATGGAATGTTGACGACGTGACGCCTCACCGTCGAAAAATTAGGGGAAAGTTGTCTAAATGTACAGTTCGTGAATCATTGACGCTAGTCTTAATGTCTGACGGCCGCGACGTTTTTTATGGATTTTTAATTTGCAGAAGTATATTTTTGGTCGCACTTTTATTTTTCGTCTTTCATATAGTTAGGCATAATGTATTGATTGATGTGGGCGTGACGTCACAACCGCGGTATTGTTTGAACGTATATTTTCCTAAATAGAGAGAGGGGGGAGAGTGAGAGAGAGCGAGAGAGGGAGCGAGAGATGAGCGCGCTGCAGAGAGAGAGCAAAGAGAGAGCGAGCGAGAGAGTCCATCTGGTGTCCAACTGGTTACCCACGAGTCTTAACCCACAGACACCTTCATCACATAATATATATATATATATATCATCAGGGGTTAATAATGACAAATTGTCATTATTAATTTGTCGTTATTTCTCATTATTTGTCACAATGTCATTGTCGTGACGCTCCTGATATCGTGTATGTATATTATAGGATGGTTCTTTGTCCTAGCATTGTTCATGGTTGTTGTATGAAGATCCTACGATATGTTACCGATTGTTGTTCTTACTGATCTTGTATTAACTAATTACGGCTGGTGTTTGTAATTAGGCCGTTAATTACGGCTGGTGTTTGCAATTACGGCTGGTGTTTGTAATTAGGCCGATAATTACGGCTGGTGTTCGTAATTAGACCGTTAATTACGGGTGGTGTTCGTAATTAGGCCGTTAATTACGGCTGGTGTTCGTAATTAGGCCGTTAATTACGGCTGGTGTTTATAATTAGGCCGTTAATTACGGCTGGTGTTCGTAATTAGGCCGTTAATTACGGCTAGTGTTTGTAATTAGGCCGTTAATTACGGCTGGTGTTTGTACTTAAGCCGTTAATTACGGCTGGTGTTTGTAATTAACCCGTTAATTACGGCTGGCGTTTGTAATTAGGCCGATAATTAAGGGTTTGTTTTGACTCGTGTTCTTGCTCATTGCTCAATGGTCTCGTTGTATCTTTGATTAGTCGATTAAATGTCGTTTTGAATGTCTGAGATGCAGTTATTTTTGGTGTAAGTTTGAATGTTGAATTGTTTGAATGTTTCCCTGACTATATGATGCAGACTACTCACTAGTGACACCAACAACATCATCACCACCAGTACAGGGTCCCCACAGCCCTCGAAAGTCCTTGAGTTTTGTCCTTTGTCCTTTGTCATTGAATTAGGATGTAAAACAATTATTTGTTACTTTATATATGAATCTGAGGTATATATGATGACTATAAAATGCTAAAACTACTTATCACAGATTGTCCTTGAAATGTCCTTGAAGTCTTTGAAAAAATAATTCACACTTTTGTGGGAACCATGTACTGAGTACCTAGCAGTAATAATGTACCATATAGAATCAACCATCACGAAAAACCAAGAAAAAAACAATAATACCTTATTATTCAATATCTGGTATTCTATCTATTTCTATCTATCTATATCTGATATGTCTATCTATTTACATGTTAGCTTAATCTATATCCTATCACGTTATATTCTCTCGGGAATAAGTGATCCCCCTCCCTCAAATGGTATCGCCCACGGCATCAGTTGCACTGTGAAAAGTTAGCAAGGAAAATGGCCGGTTTTCATCTAAACTTTTTCACCCCCCCCCCAAAGCACAAAATATGATTATACGGCTATAATACGCGTTTTTACAGTCACTCAAACGCACATACACACACGCGGCCGGGCGCACACATGCGTGCGCGTGTATTATAAGCGTAATTTCACATTATGTGCCTCAGAGAGTGAAAAAGTTTCAGCTGAAATACGTCCATTTACCTGCCAATGTTTTTCCATGCTTGACTGGTCGTGGGCGAAACAATCCGCAAGAGGGGAGTAAGGAATAAGTGATTACTTTTATTCGCTGTTAATTTTACTGTCTGACACAGCAGATGAAAGGTCAGCATAAAGAACCGGCAATTGTTTATTATGATTGTTAAATTTTTATTGCATGTAATCCAATTGCAAATACATGTACTGAAGACAGTCTTTTTCATGGAGAAAAAAATCGGATGAATGCAATAGTGTTGAGAGTGATAAAGTACATTGTGTGATACATAGTTCTGAGTGATACATGTTACATCAAAGCTTTACATATTGTTACATGACTGTGACATGAATCTACGTGAATGACAATACGAAACGACTATTGTGTACGTCGGTAATCGGCGAGCTATAGCGGCTGTTTATTCTGCTGTCGGCACTCGTGTAAAACAACTATTTTTACTTTATATATAAATCTAAGGTATGATGACTCTAAAAAGCTAAAACTACTTGTCACAGATTGTCCTTGAAAAAAACATGTACTTGAAATGTCATTGAAAAGTCCTTGAAAAAATTATTCACTTTTGTGGGAACCATGCCTCCCCCCCCCCGCGCGCAACCCATAGACGAGGCAAAGCGAGAAATAACTCAAAAACTCAGTAAAGGTTCTTTACTCACGTCGTACATGTATATTTACTCGTTAGATTTACCAAAGAACACACAAACAGTCCACGCGCACGCGTGTTGCACACACACACCGAGCAAGGAACCCGCCTACTATATATATCACCCATCACAATGTTTATGGAACCGCTGGAACATCACGTACGTAAGAAAAAATTTATTTACGTACGTAATAATAAGTACTAACGTTACGTACAAGCATCGTTGGTATCGTCAATGTTCCTATCCCTACCGTCACCCACCGCACGCACGCACGCCCGCGCGCTCTGCAGCTCACCATACCTGTAAACCCCCTCACCTGCAAACCACCTGGACCACTCACCTCACCTGGATCTCAACCTCTCCTCCACAGTGTAAGTGATTACGTCACCGCAGATAGTAAAACAAATTATGTCCACTTTTTCACAAAATGTAAGTGATTCTGTTAACTTTTTATGATTAAATTGCTGCATTATTCTTCCTATTTTGCTATTCCGTTCGATGTGAACAAAACGAACACTCATGACTCATACATAGCCAATAACAAGCATTTAATGTCGTGATCAATATTTCAAATCGCCCGTTTTTTGGAATTTTAACTAGTTGAAAAACAATCTTATCAGGTAAGAATTTCAGGATACATTTAGTGCCGTTAGTTCTTACTTTTCGTGTAAATAAATGCAACAAAATTTTGACAAATATACACAACTTGACAACACCGCCACACGAGCGAGCGAGCGCGCAAATTGTATTCTATGCGATGGTCGAGACGGACCCCCAGGTGGCAGCACACTCCTCGTTCTCGCGTCAACGCCGTGGGCAGCCATCAAATTGCGACACCAGGTGGCGATACTCTCCGGCGTTTAGCCGCGCCACTAGTGCGTCGCTGTCGCACGAAACTGACAGTTCTTGCTCGCTCCCGCGATCTACGCTAAAGCGACAACCCTCCACACAGCAGCAGTAGCAGCAGCAGCAGCAGCAGCAGCAGCAGCAGCAGCAGCAGGCAGCAGTTAGCAGGCAGCAGCAGCAGAATCAGAGCAAGCAGAAACAGGACAGCAGCAGGCAGCCGATGCAAAAACTTGCAGCGCGGCCAAAATACCCGGTATGTTCTACCATAAGAAATGGTCGCCGTCCCGGCGGGCCCGCGCGCTTCAGCAGAACACAGAGACCCGAGAGAGAGAGATGCCATCGGAAAATGTCGCAATAAACGTCGCAAATAAATCGCAGCCAGCGTCGAGACTAAAAACGGGTGTTCGAGACTAAAAACGGTGTTCGAGACTAAAAAGGTCGTCGTTAACTTCACTGCTGACTCCCCGGCGCGACACTTCACGACAAAAAAGTCACGATGTCTTGCATTTGCGTGCCAAACTTACATATTACAATTACATAATATTAACATGCCACCCCACAAAAAAAAGATGCGATACTATGCGATATATGCTAACCCCAGCCGGACGATAATGCATGTTACGCCCACGGACAGAATAAAGAAAATGCACCTTGCACACCACGCTGAAGACGTGTCAAGCATTTCGCACTAAACACGCGTCGAACACTCGGCGTTCGACGAGTTAGAAGACATTATATGTAGGCGATGATCTCCCGGGGTCAGAGAATGGTAAACCCGTTTTTCGATTTCGTCTTCCATTCCGTTTCGGAAAAAAGTTCCGCTCCGGTGCGCAGCGTCCGTGCCTCGCGCGTCCCCTGGCGACCAATGCATTTTCTCCCAAATGCATGCCCCTGGCGAGAGTTCACGTGTTAGGCTCGTCGCCGGGCAGCCGCGGCGCCCCCTGGCGAGAGTTCACGTGCTTAGGTTGCTGCCGGACAGCCACAGCGCCCCCTGGTGCATGTTCACGTGTCGAGGTCGTCGCCGGGCGGCCGCAGCGCCAGGGCGAGTTCACGTGTTCGGCTCGTCGCCGGGAAGCCTGAAGCTCTGGGTCCAGAATATCGGGCGGTCGGTGATGACGCTGACTGTGGCGCCCTCATTGTCGCCATCGCCATGTGCCAGGTGGTTCGACGTGCTGACGAGGTCACCAAACGCCAGCGCCTGGTCGTCTGCCGCGAAAAAACAAGCGAACAAATGCGTCAGCAGGTGGATTACAGACGTGTTGCGCCGTCTGTGCGCGGATTCGTCAGATTCTGTTTATAATCTACAAGCTGTTAACTTAATGCTTACAGTGTAACTCTTATTATCATTAATATAACTGTTATTATTATTAATATTATTAATATTATTATTAGTATCATTAATTTAATCATCATCATCACCATTAATATAACCATTATTATTATTATTATTATTATCATCATCATCATCATCATCATCATCATCATCATCATCATCATCATCATCATCATCATCATCATCATCACTATTATCGTACTACGGGAGAACTCACTCAGGTTTCCACTGAGACCGGTGGTAGTCACATGTTCACAGATGACCATCGGTACGAGGCCGCAGTGTTTGTCCTCATAGCCGCTGTCCACCTTTAGGTAGGTGGCGCCCTGAACAAGCATAGAGAGTCAGGAGATTGACCAAGACAAATGCTGAGGTTTGATTTGACAGTGACATGCATATCCCATGCTCACACGCACACGCAGACACAGGCACGCACACACCTACGCTCAAATGCACACGCAGACACGCATGTACCAACGCACAAACACGCGCACACAGGCACGCACGCACGCATGCACGCACACACGCACACACACACCACACACACACAACACACACGACGCACACACGCACACACACACGTGCGCCGCACCCTCCCCCCCGCCCAGCAACACACACACGCGCGTGCACCCTCCCCCCACACACACCCCTCCACCACCCACACACACACGCATTAGTAGAGCGGAGATTGCCGCCGCAGCGCGGCAGAACGGCCAGAGTCCATGAACGGGACATGCGAATCGCGGACGTGATGTAATGGCACACCACAAGGGGAGACTATGAGAGCAGGTCCACGCGCCCCTGAGGGGGCGAACGGGGATCTGAGCCACCCACACACACTGCGCCCTCCCGCCGCATCAGCACAAACGCCCACGCCACGACAGCGACACACGACACCTCACGAGCACAAGCCCCACCCCACCCCCCGACACGCAACCCATGCTGTGCCCACACACGGACGCGCAACACCGGTCACAAAGCTTGGCACGCAGGCACAAGCGACGATCTGTTCTCCCATCGAGGTAAGTGGTGGAGAGTCCTGTCCATCGCTGCGGCGAAGGGAGGAAGAGAGAGAGAAGTATATGAGTGATGCGCGAAGCAGTGGTCGGCGTGGGCGTGGTCCAACCCCGACGTGGTGACACACGACGATGACGGCTGTACTTGCAAAACAACAACCACATAATACCTACACATGAGCCTGTATATTACATTAGTATGTACTTATCGTGTGCGTACATGCTACAGTATTGTACATGTATGATGAATGATGTAATGTAGTGTTAATGGATAGGTATCACTATGAGTACGTGCCATAGCATGCAATGCATAAGTATGTATGTAGGTAGCCGGTTACGATACGTACGTGCGTACGTACGTCAAACGTACGTGATGTATGTGTATCTGATACGCTCAACATAGCCTGACACCTCAATATCATAACACATGCTTATATGCACAATGTATGTACATATATATATAATGTAGTATGTATGTCTGTACCTTCAACACAGCCAACATAGTAACAGTACACGGGAGGCGATTGGAGCGATTCGATCTTCAACCTCCGAAATCGCTCCCCAGTAAGGCTCAAATAGCTCCCCATAAAATTTTTGACGAGCTATTTTGTCCACAGACTTTTGAAAAAAGAGCTCCCGTGAAAAAGAAAGTTTTCCCTTTATGTTATGTATGTAGTATGTATGTATGTATGTCTGTATGTATTTATGTATGTATGTATGTATGTATCGTTTAAAATGTATGTATGTATCGTATGTATGTTATGTTGTATGTATGTATGTATGTATGTATGTCATGTATGTATGTTGTATGTAATGTATGTATGTATGTATGTATGTATGTATGTATGTATGTATGTATGTATGTATGTATGTATGTAGAATGTACTGTATTATGTATGTATGTATTGTAATGTATGTACGACGTCCGTATGCAATGCCATGTATGTAATACTATGTATGTATGTATGTATGTATGTATGTATGTATGTATGTATGTATGTATGTATGTATGTATGTATGTATGTATGTATGTATGTATATGCATATATAGATAGATATCTAAAACTAGACAAAAAAACAATAATTCCGAGAAAAAAATCTCTACAGATTAAAACATCACGAATTCGTGAGACAAAAAAGAGAGGAATCGAGTGAAAAAATGCTAGCTTTCCAGATGAAAGGTTATAGAGATAAGCCAAGCTAAGATATAAGGCTAAGGCTAAGATAGGCTAAGATAATAAAATTCGAAGGAGTAATAATATGAAGAAAACACAATAAGATAATTCTGCGTGAGCATGGCGACGGCGGTTACGTACGCGTCCGTCGAGCTTCTGTAGTCGACTCGCGACAAGACGCAGATTCTTCGTGAAGTCCGTCTCATTCTGGTCCGGCGTCTCGATCACCTCCACGCCCTGCAAGCATCGCCGCGAGACGTGCGATGAGACACACAGAGACGTACGGAGACTGAGACGTATAGAGATAGAGCTGATCGGTGCCTCATCACTCAAGCCTGTCGCTCTTAATCTCTCTCTCGCGTGTAATGACACGCGCTTGCTCTCTCGCTTTCTCTTTAGCTCACTCTCTCTCTCTCTCTGTCTAGCACTCTCTCTCTCTCTGTCTAGCACTCTCTCTCTCTCTCTGTCTAGCACTCTCTCTCTCTCTCTGTCTAGCACTCTCTCTCTTCCTCTTTTACTCCTGAGCTCTCTCTCTCTCTCTCTCTTTCTCTATCTCCCACCTCTCTCTCTCTCTCTCACCTTCTCTATCTCTCTCTTTATCTATCTTTGTCTGTCTAACTCTCTTTCCCTCGCTATCTCTCTATCTCTGTCCATATCTCCCCCCGCCCTTCTCTCTCTCTCCTCTACAGAAGCTACCAGCACTGACTTACGGATCGCTGGTAGAACTCCCGGACGTCCGGCCGGATGGAGTCAAAGTCGCCCGACACAAGGTCTGGCATCAGCTTTATACTGTTCGTTCCCACGTTGTGGTCGTACAGAGCGTTGGCGCCACCGTCCACGCACGACGTGAAGGAGGCTGGGGATCGTAACGAACTTAATTACCATCGTCAATATTTCTGTTATTATTATTGTTATTTCTAACATTATTATTAACATTATTATCATTGATATTATTATTATTATTTACTGCTATTATTGTTAATGTTATTATTTCTATTATTATTATTATTATCATCATCATCATCATCATCATCATCAGCATCATCATCATCATCATCATCATCATTATCCTTACTATTATTATTATTATTCTTCCATGACTAAATATTACACATGAGTGATCACCAAGCAAGCTGCTTCGTGAATTCAGAAAGACTCTCCGCGCTTGTCCCCACCACACTGTCACTGTCAGCGGACGCACGCCCAACAGCAGGCCATCGCGACGCCGCGGCAGTGGCAGCGCTCACCTTTCGTCCACAGCTCGTTGAACCATGACTTGATTCCACGCGCCGGGTTACTGAGAACGATCAGTGCATATCGGTAATCTGAAACGGACAACGAACGCAGTCGCTAACGACGCGGCAGATAACGACGAGCGCAGATGTCGTCGCCGCGGAAACGCCAAACGCAAAAGCTCGCAAAAAATGGACCGTTACTTCCGAGCCTAATCTCTAAAAATTAAACGATGATCTCCAAAAAGAATCTCATATCAAGGTGAGACCTTGTAGTACTAAATTGGTCAATAAAAGACCCTTGGCTCTGATATGTATATAAATATATATATATATATATATATATATATATATATATATATATATATATATATATATATATATATATCTATATATATATATATATATATATATATATGATCTGTGATGACTCTGGTGGCAAGTAACAGCCAGGATCAATGGAATCTTTAAGAAGAATCGACGTTTAACTTCGACTATATCTGCGTATTCGCCCCACCGGACGCCCACCCACATGACGGGTCATCGCGTTACCCAAGTGCTCCTGGAAGTGGGCCAGGGGGCGCCACACTCTCGTCGGAACTCCCATCGCGTCAGTCTGTCGCTCTCCTTCCATTCATGTCCACGCGTGAGGTCGGCCGATGCTGATGCAGTGCGGGAGCGATGGAGGGGGGGGGGCAGCTCGTCACGATGTGTTGTCCTCCTAGACGACTGAAACGAGAAGCTCAAAGCTCAGACGTGGTGCAGCCACGCAGGAGAGTTCTTCTCGGGACGATCTATCTTCCGATATCCAGAGCGGATCATCCCTGGAGAGGTGCAATGAGTGATTACACGTTTTAAGGGTGAAAGTTTGTGTGTGTGTGGGAGGGGGGTGCATGCCCCACATAGCTATTATCTGCAGCGGACAAATATCCGCCATGTTGACACACACGTACATTATGATTAAAAGTACATACAGCTACTAGTGACCACTACAGCAATGCACTCAGCTACATATATATATATATTATATATATAAATACGTGAGTGTGCGTCGCTGTGTGTGTGTGTGTGTCGCCGTGTGTGTGTGTGTCTGTGTGCACAGCTGAGTGTACTGACACGTACAGTGCCACAGAGAATAGCGATATCTCATATCAAGGTGTGACATTGTACACATAGTACTAAATCGGTCAATAGAAGAACCTTGGCTTTGACATGTATATATATATATATATACAGGGGTAGAAATTAACTTTTGAACAAGGGAGTCCAACGGACTCCCTCCTTCAAAAAGAGGGAGTCTGCAGCAAAATGAGGGAGTCTGCAGTCTGAAGTTCAAAACTAAAGATATTAACAATAACGTGTGTGCTTATTTTGAAGATTTATCATGCGGTTGCACGTCTGCCAAATTGCAGGGTGTAAAATTAACGCGAGTCCGGAGTCAAATACTTCCTGATTTACTGTCGGACTACCTGATTTGACATATGCAGGAGTCCGTGTGACTCCCTGAAAATTTTGCCATACTAACTAGTTCGTTCCAGAGCACGGCTTTGCGGAATTACCGTATTTTTTCAGCAAATGTACAAAGAAAATTTGGCAGACGTGCAACTGCATGAATCTTCAAAATAAGCACATGCGTTATTGTTAATATCTTTAATTTTGAACTTCAGACTGCGGACTCCCTCATTTTGCCACGGACTCCCTCTTTTTGAGGGCAGGGAGTCTGTTGGACTCCTTTATTCAAAAGCTAATTTCTACCCCTGAAATTGTCATAACATATTTGCTGAATCAATACGGCAATTTCGCGAGGCCGTGCTCTGAAACGAACTAGTTAGTATAGCAGAATTTTCAGGGAGTCACACGGACTCCTGCATATGTCAAATCAGGGAGTCCGCTCTGGAATGAACTAGTTAGTATAGCAGAATTTTCAGGGAGTCACACGGACTCCTGCATATGTCAAATCATGGAGTCCGACAGTAAATCAGGGCGTATTAGACTCCAGACTCGCGGTAATTTCGCACCCTGTATATATATTTATATATGATCTGTGATGACTCAGGGGACAAGTAACACCGGCCAGGATAAATACTGAATCCAGCCGACGTGAACGAGATCGAATGAAATCGGAACGAATGCCATTCGCAACCTTGGCGAAGAACTATACTGATCTAGCTTAGTAGCTACACTCGTGTAGACCTTCACTCTACCTTGGACTTGGGATTCCTGTGGTGGAGTGAAGTGCTACGTGTATAGAGCCACACCTTAATAGTACCAGCTATAATCGATTTGGGTTCAAAACCTAGTTAAAGTAGTTTTAAGCCTTGTTTATAGCCTCAAGGCTCAATGTTAATAGCCTTGTTTACTTTTAGTTAGTCATCTCTGAGATAGCTAACCAACTGCAATCTAACACTGATTTATCGCAAATACGTGCTACGAATTTCGAGCAAGCGCAGGGAAAGTTTGAATAACCTTAACACAGTTTTTCGTCTTTCGACGATGTACATGATACTACTACATCTAGTACATGCAATGGCTACATGTACCGGGATTTCATCTCAGCGACCTGTCTTGATCTCGACAAATGACATGGCTCTGGGGAGGTGGAAATGCTGACAAAATACCTTAGCTACAAAGTGCAACTGTCGTTACCTCAAACTCCAAGTTTTGACGGTTTTTATTGATAAAATAAAATCAACAACATGTTGACTGCTGTCAGTGTCAGGAAGGAAATGTTGTGATGTGCAGGTACCGGATGTTGCCGGCGCCGCCTTACTTGCTCGCGTAATCACGTGACCAGGTATTAAGAACGAACCAATGACAAAATAGTTGCACATGTGTCGTACATCGCTAAGAAACGGACCCGTTTCTCTTGCCTAGTCTCTCTAAGACTAATTCCTGATATTATTTACGCATCGATGAACTAAGTAAACCTTCTTTAATGCACCATACGGTTTAAATTCATAATCTGCAATAATTAACACTACTTTCGCGTTGAATGCTGGTTAACTGAACAATACATGTTTCCTTGATGTCAATCCTCTTTTTATAAATTTATCAATTAACAAGAATTATAAATTATAATTAAGTACGTATTTCATCCAGAGAGACATGATTCAATATTGCGTGGCATAGCTTTGCTGTTGATCCTGAGCGCTGCGCGCGTACATAGCGTTAAACATGGCGTACATGTATATTTAGACTTGGCGCTACTCTGACGTCACTTCCCGCTACCGGCACACACAGCATCGGAGGCTGAGAAGGCGTGTGCAGATCTGTCAGACTGCGTATTGCTGTGCCCCGTGCGTGCTGTCGCTCTCTCTCCCAGTGTGTGTGTGTTTGTGCGCGTTCCTCTGACACTGCGAAACAACCACACGCAAGTGTTTTGCGAGTCAAACATTTTTTCACGTACTTTGACCATAGCCGGAGTTTTTTTTTATACTTGCTGTGATGATGATGACGATGACGATGGACTTTCGTGTAGCTCTGGTCATCTTGGCCGTCACTCTTACATGTGGTAAGTGATTTAGTGTAGTTCCTTGTTTTCTTCTTAATGCTTCTACTTCTTTTTCTTCTTCTTCTTCTTCTTCGTCGTCGTCGTCTTCTTTTCCATCTCCTTCTCCATCTTCTTCTCTTATTAACTTGGAACGGGTACTTTACCTAGGGAGACATTCACAATATGTATTGTTTAATTATTTATTTACTGATTTATTTACTTAATTCGGTAATAAACCGCCATACATAAATAGTTAGCAGCCGCGCACCGCTATTCGTGGAATATTTGGATATTTGGTTTAGATATTAGCAGTGATATTAGGCATGTGAGAGAAAGAGAGAGATCGAGAGCGAGAGCGATAGAGAGAGAGAGAGAGAGAGAGAGAGAGAGAGAAGAGAGAGAGAGAAGAGAGAGAGAGATGATAGAGAGAGAGAGAGAGAGAGAGAGAGAGAGGGAGAGGGAGAGGAGAGGGAGAGGGAGAGGGAGAGGGAGAGCGGGAGACTCCGCCGTCCGGACGGAGGGAGAGGGAGTAGAGAGAGAGAGAGGAGAGGAGAGAGACGATGAGACGAGCGACAGAGCGAGAGGAGAAGAGACGAGTCGCGAGGAGAGGATAACTTTGAAAAGACACAGGAGGGCAATTTTGTTATTTTTTTTGGCGTGATTTTGTTTGCGTGCTTCTGAGACGATGATGTGGTGAGCTTCAATGATGCGCAAGAAGATATAGTTACACATGTGCTCACCATCGTGTATGTAAATCCAGAGATCCACGAATCCGTTCAAGACGTTGAAAGGAGCAAGAGTGGGCAGAGGCTATGTAATTATGTGAGGCTATTAGAAAGAGTTTCTTCAAGCCTGTACACAATGTAGTCTACGTTCTGTGTCCATGATTTATGTGCTGTAATAATATATTATACTAAGTATATTAACTATACTATATTAATTATTTATACTTGATACGATGCTGCGCAATGTACACAGCTTCAGCGAGCTGGAGAACGAGTGGCTTGCATGTATATCGCGCATACGGCCACCTAGTTACGTATTACTGTTGTTAGTGTTCTCGCGGGTAATGTTCCCAGTTTCCCACTGACAGCCCGGGGCTGGTGCCGCGCACACATCGTGGTGACTGGCTAAAGGTAGCTCTAGTACGTACATGCCCGCGTACACAGGTGGCGCAAAACTGAACGCGGCTATAGTACTAACTGAAGTAAAAGGGGCAAGTTGAGGTGAACATTTGTGGGAAGAGGATGAAAGGAGGGGGTTGGAGATTAGCTGTAGAGGTGTATGAGAAGCTAGGCCGGGGGTATGATGGAGAAGAATGTGAGATTGGATGAGCGGAGAGATATGGAGAAGAGGGCGTACTGGAAGGGATTATGAAGGTATGGAGATTGGAGGTGGCTCGCGATGTAGGAAGTGTGAGTAAATGTGGGGAGGAATGAGTAGTTGGCGAACGACGGGAGGGTGTAGAGGGAGGGTTGGTGGTGGGATTGAGTTAGGAGTAGGGGAGGTGTAGGAGCGAGGGGGCAAGTTGGGGGGGGATAGAGTTGAAGTTAGGGAGGGTATCACGGAGGAGGGTCGAGTGGTGGGGATGAGGTTGGAG